TTCTCGTTTGTAATCTAAAATGACTGAAAATTGCAAACTTCGCAAGGCTATATTATCCGCATTTTACAACATTTCGCAACGAAACTTCGGAATATTACTAATTTTGTGATGCTCTTTCTAGACTTTTCTAGACTTGTCTAGATCAAAATTTTAGTTATAAGGTTAAAGGTCCATTGCTTAGAATTTGATGAGTATTCAGAAATGATATTACTTGTATTAAATTCATTTGTAGTATAATGATTGAAATTTTGATCAGCTGGCATATTAAGGTCAATATCTGCATTTGTAAGGTGTGGCATATCTGTGATAGGAGAGGAGATATTTAAGAAAGGTAATTCACAGAATTGTGATTTCCTATTTTTAATATTACTAGTATCAATTTCCTCTATTCCATGATCAATAGATATCAATGTGGCACTTAACATGATTAATATGTAACATATAAACTAAATATAATCTACATATGTACTTAGCTGCCAATTAAGTTTTGTAAATCTTCCTTTGAATTGACCACATCTACCCGAGAATCCTGATGTTTTCTTAGACAATTTCTGCCATTTATTGTCCAAACAAAAGAATAATTTGCCTCCTTCTTGAACTTCAAACACTCCCTGAATAATTCTTTCCTTCTTTCTTTAAGATCGATTTTAATTTATAAATATCTTCTTTGACTGAGAATATCCCAAATCTTTAGTAGTAATATCCTTTAACTGTTTTCGTGCTCTATAATAGGCATCCTTTATATCCCGACGAACAAATTTTGCTATGATGGCAGGATTTTGCAGTTTGTCCTTCCTTCTAATGGGTAGGCGATGACTGACAGATATGTCTTGGTCTTCCATTTCAATACCCATACGTCTACCAAGCTTCACTATAATCTCATTTGTATTTTATGGCTGACCAACTATTGCAGGAGGGATTCTCCTCAACTCCAAGCAATCTCTACGCGAGTATTGCTCAAGATCATCAAGTGATTCATTAAGATGCTTCACTTTCTTATCCATTTCTAGTGCAGCATTTCTCAACACTTTATTCTCTTCCACGATTTGAGCTTTTTGTGCTTCAGATTGTTTTAGTTTGGATATAACTTCTTCATATTTAGCATTTGTCATGTCCAAAAACGTTGTCATTTCTCCAACTTTCTCGCGAAGATCAGACATTTCAGATTTCAATGGTGACAGTTTCTCATCAAGAACCATTCTCAATTGCTCAATCGTAATATATGAAGTCATGATAGTAATAACAGACAGATAAAAACAATACAATATACAACAGAAACTTACAATTGTTTTTCTAGGACTGTTGATGGAAGAAAAGTTTCGACCTCCATTTTGAATTAGTAAAAACCATTGTATTTTCCGAACATGAAGTATCTAAAGTTGTTGTCATGGTAACACGATAATTTTTTAAGAATATTCTTACAAATGAAAAATCGCCTAAAAATATCACTTTTAATTACAAAATTATCAATTTCCCAACACATATACGGTTAGGTATGTTATTATACGTAATAATATAAGCTTCAATTTAAGGTAAAAAATTGAAATGAAGTTTAATATTACTTTAAATCCTTTAAAATCGCATAGTAAAGCCATGTTAGGGAGGGCCACACGCGCAATGAGTTGTGGGATATCGCGTATCAAATGTCAAGTGTCTAGTGTGATTTGCAAGTTTTTGATTTTTTCGTTTGGAAATATTTCGCTCAAGGAAAGCTATATTTCGTATTGGATAATACTATTAGATGATACTGCGGTCTCTCAGCAGTTTTCAGTGTATTTGTGATTTAGAAGCATTTGAAAGAATCAGAATTTCTAATACTTTCGGAAGTCTGCGGTTTCTGCAGTTTTCAGTGTATTTGTGATTTAGCAGCATTTGAAAGTATCAGAATTTCTGATACTTTCGGGACGTCGCGTCTCTGCAGTTTTCAGTGTATTTGTGATTTAGCAGCATTTGAAAGTATCAGAATTTATATGATATTTTGGACGTATGGTATCTGCAGTTTTCAGTGTATTTGTGATTTAGACGCATTTGAAAGTATCAGAATTTCTGATACTTTGGACGTCTAGTTTCTGCAGGGTCTGGTCTCTGCTGCTTAAGAGTACCTAAACTATATATAAAAAACATTGTATGATACTTATATATATTTCCTACCCAATGGAGTGTTGCAATATTGCAGATATTGTTATTTTTTACGGAGGCGGTATTTTTACCTGCAAAATTGGGCTGTTTTGAACGAAAAGTTTTCGGTGTCAGCAAAATGTTGTAAATAAGGCTGTTTTTGTCGAAAAAATATTACTTTGGAAAATGCAAAGATAGTTTGGAACGCGTTCTAAGTCCTTCTAAGGGCTTATTGGTCTCAGGTATGTATTATTACTCTTTATATCATATAATTATAACGTCCATCGACCCTATTATTTCATTTTATCTTGTGGCTGTACTGGCCTGTTGTCAGTGGCTGCTAAAATTTGAACTTGCGCGCGCGAGATTTTATATATTAAAAGTATTTCATTTCAATACCGCCAAATATTAGTTAAAACCAACAATTCAAATTTTGAATAAGTACACTATAGTAAATATTGGGTTGCACTTGTTTGACAAACCTCGAGAAAGCATCTTTGAACCCACACAGTGTATTATTTGAAACAAGATGTGAATATATAAATATAAAATATGGTTTTGTTAAAAACCTATTTAAGCCAAAACATGAGAATTATTTGAGAGTATTAATTAAATTCTGTTCTTTTAATCACCTCTCCCCTGGATTTCCAAGGTCTTTCAAGTCATTGAGTGCCAGTTCTCTCCACTTGACAAGTAAAATCACCTGTGCATTAACTCTGCCTAGGGTTACTAGCCGGGTTATAGACAGAGTAAAATTAGTGTTGTTTACACTACAAGCCTTGGCCTAGCCTTGGCCAGGCCAAGGTAAATGTGGCACGTTTACACCATTACACTATTTTTTTGAGACAGGCTCACTTTGGCCAATAATTTTGTTACTAATTTTGTGTATTTTTATGTGTTGCGATGTTGGCCGCTAATCTCTCACTGTGGACACACGTTGCCATGAAAATAAGACCCCGGCCAGGGCCGAAAGTTTGTAGTGAACCCAGATTTCCAGGCCTAGGTCAGGACAAGGCTAGGCCAAAGTCTATTTGCACTGTCAAAATGTTGGCCAAGGCCAATTAAGGCTGGTAGTGTAAACACGACTATTTAATGCATCAGGGCGCATTACAACTAAATGGTTAGTGTTTCCCACAATATGGTAAAAAGTATAAACTTTTTCTAGCTTGAGCTTGAAGTATTTCCAAGCTATACCCTTCTAGAGTTTACCCTATATGCATGTGCTTGTTTATATGATAATGGCGTGACTGGATAGTAGGTTTTAATCCAGGATGGTGTGTTTAATACAGACGGAGTACACTTCACCTGGCAGGGATAATAGAGTGTTTATATGAGAGTTTCCTGTCCTGGTACGTGGGATCCTGTCTAGGCCAGATAGAAGTAGAATAGTTCACTTTAATTACAAGACAGTTGATAGAGTTCATATTGCAAGCTGGATCATAATAATTACAAAGTGGCTACAGTATGATGTTTGTGATGTTACTCTGAGTGTATATCCACACCGGGCAAGCTTGAAAAATATGCCTGACCACGGTGGAAATCGAATCTACGACCTTTGGAATACTAGCCCAATGCTCTGCCAACCGAGCTACGCGATCAGATCGGTTCGAATATGTGATATTGCGGAACAGAATCTAGTCCCTTCGATATCAATGTAAGCGAAGGAACTAGAAAAATCATTACTGATTATTATAGATTACATTGATATTGAAGGAACTAGATTCTATTCCGAAATATCACATATTCGAACCGATCTGACCGCGTAGCTCAGTTGACAGAGCATTGGGCTAGTATTCCAAAGGTTGTAGGTTCGATTCCCACCACATATTTTTCAAGCTTTCCCGGTGTGGAATACACTCAGAGTAACATCACAAGCATCATATTCATCTGAGTACATTACACCAACACAGAAAAATCATTACTGGCTACAGTATATCTACAGGTCCTTAAATAGACTTTACCAGGCTATATTTACAGGCTTACAGCACTCTTATGTACTAAACCAGCACTATAGAATTTATTGTTTATGAAGGATTTCAACATGCTCAAAAATAGATCAGAAGGTTAGGCAGATGGCTGCTGTACGTGCTGTAGTCTGCGGTTCGAACCCGAGTTGGGACAGGTTTTTGTTCACCTTAACTAAACATGTCTTTTTTTTCTGATTAGTTTTATTTCTTAAGGGTAGAGGTTAGGGTTAGTTTTGTTTGAATTTGACTTTAACAATAAATACAACCCGTGTGTAGACTAAGAATGACTGAATGAGAGTGCCATAAATATAGCATGGCGAAGTTTGTTTACGGGCCTGAAGATATAGCCACTTTGTAATAGTTAGTTAAAAAGCAATTTAATTAGAATTAAATGGATCAAATGATCGGATAATTACTGCAGACTTTATAAAAATAGTCTAAGCTTACAACGGCATAAAACTAGTATTCTTTTCACATGTGCATCCAAAGCTACTGTAGATTGAAATAACTGATAAATGACCATTAATTACAAGAGTATGCAACCAGCATACTTGATGATCCACTTAGACTTGAGAGTAAGATGGTCTGGCATTATACAGAGTACAATAATCTGGCATTTAAAAGACAGTAAAATAAGGAAGTAGGACACACAAGGGTACAATATAACTTAATGGGTTCACTAGACACATGGCCATACTAACCCAATAATACAGGAATACGTACTTCTCAAGAAGTTTGGCAGGTCGTTAAGATGGGATGTTAACTGAAAATTACACTAGGCTGGACATGCATAAGTTGCATTGTGCCACAACTTTATTGTTTTACTCTGTCTGATGGGTCGTTCCAAAAAAGATCCACTCTCCCCTAGGCACATAGGAAATTTCTACCGTCCGGAGGGGAGGGGAGAAAAAATTGTTTCTGATAAAAGTAAGTGTATTAGAACATTCGACTTTCGAAGGGGATAAGGGGTTAACTTCCAATTTCCTTCATGGGGGCGGTATCGATGTTCTCTGGAATGACCCAATGTCAGATGATTTTACTTGTCAGTGATATCACTCAGTGGTTTACTGAAACAACTAGCACTCCTCTCCAATATAACTAAGATTAAATTATAATCTTATGAACCTATTCAATGTTTTCTGGAATGAGCCAATAGCATATTAAATCACAAATACCAACAACCAGTAGCAGATACCTCGAAAAATATTGGGGGTGCTGTTGAGATGTCTGTTAACAAATCTTATCTGCATATTTCTCTTGTTAACCCATTCACTGGCAATATACTCTACTTTATATTACTCTGTCTAATGCCAGCAAATTTTACAGTTTTACTTGTTGAGAAAATAGCCTTTGCAGCACTTTCCAATTTGCCATGTATTGCCCGCACAGAGAATAGATTACTGGGGACGAGTCGGGGTAAAAACCGTATGAACCAAGGGTTATCAATTACGATAATACTAGAACCAACTTCAACCAAGGGTTGGGTTGTGCTACTACATTAGGTCTTCCCATTCGTAATAAGGTGCATAGTTTATAGGTTGGACAGGAGGGAATTGCTCATATTGCTGCATGCGAACTGTGAACTTGTGCTATATACTGTAATGTTAACTGACTACGGAGTTCCAGTACATGAAATATGTAGAGCTAATGATAGTCTTGTATTTCCTTTCTTATAGCTCATGTGACTAAACGTTTTGCGGGAGCAACAGCTTCATCAGTGAAAGCTGCCATGGCGCAAAAGTGGAAAGACAAAAGAAATGCTGATACGAAAAGAAGAACAATTGCAGAAGACATTTGAACTGCTAAGTTTTTTCCTTATTATAAATTATTTTGTATGGTAGCTAAACATTTGTAGAAATTAACTGTATAAATGAATTATTTAAACTTCCTATATATACCATTACTGTATCTCACTGTTTGACAGGTTTAAATGTGCATGATTGAAGCTTTGCATAATTTCACATGTGATATTTCACATGTGTATTTGGTATATGTGATATCTCACATGTGAAGTTTCACATGTTAACACATGTGAAATTATGTGTTTCACATGTGAAGTTTCACATGTGAAACTTCACATGTGAATTAGGAACATGTGAATTTGAAACATGTGA